TCAATACGAGCCGCTATCCATTGCTCCACTCTATAGCATTAATATAACATTAAACAGACTCTCATTAATAACGACTTTCCTATCTATAGATAGACAATAATAAACAAAATAAATTTACTACCTCCCTATTTAAAAATACAACTAGCAATAAACACGTGCACTCTCAAGTGAATGTCCAATTACAAAACAACTATTATACAAAATTTAATAAAGTTAATTCTTCCATAAAAGTTCCATAGCAAATTAAAAACATTAAACAGATTCTCATTAATAACGACTTTCCTAATTACATCGTTGATAAACATGTTAGACGAGCTATTAGAAATATTAACATAAATTAAAAAGAACATAATATTTCCTCAAATAACCCTAAACATATTGACTGATTAGACAGCAATCAAATACAGTTTAACTACAAACAAGATGAAAAAATCCTAAAAAACTCATAAGTACTAATATATCATTCGCTGATCCAAGAAAAAAAAAAAATAAACTAATTATATACTATGAGTCAGTTATGTGCTAAACGTGATACACGCTCAGGCGATCATGTATCTTTCGATACATGAATGAGGAGGCAGATTTTTTTCCCGCAGTAGGTTGCCATTTCTTTCTGCGGTAGACCAGTTGCCATCAAAGGCTATAGAACCCGGTTTAAACTACTATTGTGTGTGTGGGGGGGATTCATACTTTTCCCAAGGGTATTAGCACGTAAGAGAATGTAATAGATTCGACTGGGATTCGAACTCGGCTCTACTACTCTATTTACACACACACACACACACATATATATATATATATATATATATATATATATATATATATAATCCGTTATGTGCCATGCATGATACACGTTTAGGCGATCATGTATCTTTCGATACATGACTAACGAGGCATATTTTACCCCGCAGTAGGTTGCCATTTCTTTCTTCGGTAGACCAGTTTTCCATCAAAGGCTATAGAACTTGGTCTCACCCACTATTTTTAGTGGGGAGATGATTCATACTTTTCCCAAGGGTATTAGCACGTAAGGGAATGTAATGGATTCGACTGGAATTCGAACTCGGCTTTATTACTCTCTTTACACACACACACACACACACAAATATATATATATATATATAATCAATTATGTGCCATGCGTGATATATGTTTAGACGATCATTTATCTTTCGATACATGACTAACGAGGCATATTTTTCCCCGCAGTAGTTTGCCATTTCTTTCTACTGTAGAAAGAAAGTCTATAGAACTTTTCATCCAAGTATAGAAGAAGAGGATTCATACTTTCCCAAGTGAATATAATGGATTCGACTGGAATGTCAGTCAGTCACTTATGTGCCAAGCGAGATACACGCATGGCACATAACTGACATACATGACTGACGAGGCAAATTTTTGTCATCCAAGGCTATAGAACCTAGTCTGTCATGCGATTTACTCATAGCTTGGTGGAGGAGAAGAGGATTCATACCTTTCCCAGGGGTATTAGCACGTAAGTGAATGTAATGGTTTCAACTGGAATTCGAACTTGGCTCTCCGATTCCTCAATCCGAGCTGCTATCTATTACTCCTCAATTATATACTATACTAAATTTAATAAAACCAACTTAATCATCCGCAATAACTCTTTCCCGTCAACTAGTGTTTTGAAAAGACCAACATTATATATTAATTTAAATGATTTGCATTATTTACTTTATTCGGACTGTTATCCTCATCTTAACTGCTATATTCTCAACATTTCGGCCGTTGTACGCTCTGGCCTTCATATTGTGATTAGAATTTCAAATTTCAGTTCTAGTTCCACCTGGCATGCTTTTTGAAAATTTAAGGAATCAGCACATATGCTTGGCCACAAAAATCTCCTGAGCCGACTAAACATAGAAATGAATACAATCTGGGAACCAGTGCTATAGAAAAGCAATGAATAACAACAAAAAACTGTAATATAAGCTCTGGTAAAAAATGTAATCATAATAACAAAAATTGCAAATGGACACATGGCCCAGTGGATAAAGACGTTGATTAGATCCAGTGACTAGACTCAAACAGCTGTGAGTTCAATACCAGGGACAGCAGTGATGAAGCAAAACTTGAACAGTTGAGTTAAAGGGACATACACCCAAAAGAGGAAAACTGGACAAAATAAACGGTTCGGTTCGAAATTGAAATCACCTAAAGAAGGCCGGAGCGTACAACGGCCGAAACGTTGTGAATATGGCAATGGAGATAACAGTCGAAATAATGTAAATAATGCAAGTTATCATAATTCCTCATCTCAGAGATATAGACAGATGTCAATTTAAATGTTCTTTTTGGAAATTGTATCTCTGACAAAAAAAACTAAATATAGAGGTTGGTTTCCCGACAACAACATTATCATGGACACTTCTATTGCACAACATATAAGTGAACATTCCTATCCACATTCACTTTTCAGAGAAATATTACTTGACAATTCAAGTACACTCCACGATGAAAATAAAAAAAAATAAAAAACTTGAAATTCTCTATAAGAAAAATACAACCAACACTAAATAAGATTAATTATCAGTCTAGCAACAATGTTTTAAAATCCCAATAAAAGCAATGCTATGGGATACTTGAATTGTAAACAATTTTTTTAAAAAATTGCAGGGAGAGTATTTTAAAACATTAATAATAAAAAATATATAAATTAAGTGACCTCTCTTATAGGCATATTATCCTCAACAGTTAATTTTTAAATTACCTATAGCGGAGCGCCTTCATACGTGTTCATAATTATAACAGAGCGCGTTTCATGCGCATTCAGAAAGAATCACATCTATCATATACATTAATTTTTTGTTTTAGCAATTCAACCCTGAAGATGATCTTCGATGAAACTGAAAATACTTGGGAAAATAAAAGAAATGAAGATAACTACGGCGTCTTTCGTAATGAGTTTAATAAAACATTAAGAAATTGAGCCGTGAATTTTGGTGGATTAGAATAAAATAAATAGACATAATATGTACAGATTATTCAACCAAGCATGCTTGAATGAAGGTATACTGCACACACACACACACACACACACACACACACACACATATATATATATATATATATATAGGTCATGTCTTGAGAATGTCTGATGACAGGATACCCAAGATCCTAATGTACAGCCAGTTAGATCAGGGCTACAGGAATGCAGGACGCCCATGGCTAAGATACAATGATAAGCTGAAAAGCAATTTGTCAGCAGTCAATATAACACATAACACCCTTGAGCACTTAGCCTTGGAGCGGGTAGAATGGAGATCAACGTGTTTTAGTAGACTCAGCAATTTTCAATCTGCTTGTCTGAATCATCTTCAATAAGCGAGAGCAAAATCTAAAGGGTCAGCCAATCTAACAGTGATCTCATCTCACAATCCTCACACTTGCTCCATATGTGGCCTCCTTTGTAAATCACTAGCAGGTCTTAAATGCCACTTAAGATTATCGCACATAATTTCATAACTGAATCAATAAGCTTAGATCCTCATACGTTGAAACCGACGGTAGAGTCCAATATATATATATATATATATATATATATATGTGTGTGTGTGTGTGTGTGTGTGTGCGTGTGTGTGTGTGTGTATTTTGCGTCTTCCATAGCGATTTGAGGAAGTATTATGTTTTGGTCTACACGATTTTTTAGTGCCAAGAAACAAAACACATTTTTCGCTAATTTGATGGTGCTGATTCCGAAAATGACCTTAGTTTTTCATGCTTGGATACCATTTATGCTGTACTGAAATTGCTCATTTTTTGAAAAAAAAAATCAATTTACGGTCTTGGTTGATCACAAAATTTAGTTAATAAATGCAGAAACCCATCAATTTTCGTGTAGGCCGAGCAATTTAAGTCAGCCACCTGAAATAAAATATTTTTATGAGAAAAAAGTGTTTTTGAGTCAAAAATTTTAAAATAGAAGTACTGAATGTTTCTAATTTATCGTCAAGATTCAAATTAACTGATAAACTTTATCAGTAATACACTTTAGTAAACTTGATAATTAAGGGAATTAAATTGAACATAACAGACAATCAAGAAAGAGAAAATATTTACCATAGTTCTTATGTTCACGAAGGTTTTATTTCTGCTGTTAGTTTATTAAATAATTTAATGAGAATCCTTGTTGGTCTTGTTATATTCAATCGTTTTATTTTTCAAGACTTAGAGTCTGATTATTATTGCAAAAATTTCACAATAAGCAGACCAATATTTGTTGGTTTAAATACGAATTAAGAGGTTTCTACGATTTTATTTTGAGAAATATTACCATCGGTCAATATCATATATACAGAAAACAAGTGAAAAAATGCATTTTTTCCAAAAATGAGGCATTTCTATACAGCAAAAACGGTAGGTAACCAAGAAAAAGTAAGTAAGGTCATTTTCAGATTCAGCGCCTTCAAATTAGCTAAAAAAGATGATTGGTGTTTCGACACTATTTCAAATATTTTTTGACTAGTATAATGTACACGATAAGCCGCATCTGACAGTATAAAAGAGGCATTTGCCATTATATAAGAGACATTTGTCAGTATATAAGACGCACTTAGAAAAGACTTTAAAGATCGTCCAGTCTCTTATATGCGAATTTAGCCTCACGTTTTTTATCTATTCAGTCAAGATTGTTCAGACATTCATGAGTCTATCACGCCAACCATGACGGTCCTGCATCAAGGTCATCAGCCTGGCATTCGGTATCATATTATCGCTGGTCAATGTAGGTTATTCCTGGTCGACCAGCCCGTCTTGCTCCATGGTTTAGTGCCATTTTCAGATTCATCTCCCTGAAATTAGCTAAAAACGATGTTTGGTGTCTCGACACGATTTCAAATAGTTTGTTTTTTGTTTTGTTTTTTTGCTGACCAGTGTAATAATAGATAAAATAGTCTGTCTAAATCTACGCTCTGTGTCTGCAGAGTTGTTTGTTTTTTTGTTTTTTTAATGTCATCCCTCTTCAGGTATATTTGATCATGACTGTCCGCCGGAATTCGCATTCAGAGTTTATCTTTTCTTAGACTCTTTGCAAATGACGGCTACAGAGCTGAATCTACTCTGCTATTCAAAGATTATTTGGTGATGAGGGTAGATAGATTCATTTCATTTCGCAAGGAGATTTGTGTTAAAGTGAAGACGGACAAGGCTGCAATTTGAACTCGGCTACGCTACGTATTTGAAATAATAGTATTTTGGTGAGCGGGGGCAAATCCCGAGAAGTGTTGATCGTTCTCCGTATCTGATTATATGGCCAATGCTCTTTTAATGAATTATTTATAAGATCACTAAAAAGATAGGAAAGTTTCCGAGAGCTGGAGTACAACGCGTGTTTGCATCTCTGATCAAATCGAAACATAGTTTAAATATTAAAGTAAGCGAAACCGGACTCTCTCCCCCCTCCTCTCTCTCTCTCTCTCTCTCTCACACACACACACACACACACACACACACACACACACCTTTCTGTTTCTCTCTCTCTCAACTTTCTGTTTCTCTTTTTCACACTTTCAGTTTTTCTTTCTTTCTTTCTTTTTCTCTCACTTTTCTGTTTTCTTTCTCTCTGTCTCTCTCTGTCTCTCTCTCTCTCTCTTTGTTGCTCTCTCACATTTCTGTTTTTCTCGCTCTTCTTCTCGCCTTTCTGTTTTTCGCTCTGTCACATTTTTCTTTTTCTTTCTCACTTACTCTCACCTTTCTGTTTTTCATCATTTTTTTTATTTCTCTCTCTCTCTCTCTCTCTCTCTCACCTTTCTGTTTTCTTTCTTTCTTTCTTTCTCTCTCTCTCTCGCTGACTCACTTTTTTTGTTTTTCCAGATTTCCTTCTCACTTTTCTTTCTTTCTTTCTTTCTTTCTTTTACTCTTTCTCTCACCTTTCTCTTTTCTTTCTCTCTCTCTCTCTCTCTCTCGCTGTCTCACTTTTTTGTTTTTCTCGATCTCCTTCTCTAAAAAGAATTTTCTTTTTCTTTCTCTCTTAATGATCTCTCTCTCTCTCTCTCTCTCACCTTTCCGCATTCTTTCTCTCTTTCTCGGCCTCTCACGTTTCTGCTTTTCTTTCTCTCTCTCTCTCTCTCTCTCTCTCCCTCACTCACCTTTCTGTTTTATATTCTCTATCACCTTTCTGTCTTCTCTCTCTCTCTCTCTCTCTCCCACACACACACACACACAGATTTCTGTTTATCTTTCTCTCGTTCAGATTTTTTTCTCTCTCTCACACTCACGTTTCTATTTCTTTCTCTCTCTATCGCAATCCTCTTTTTTTCTTTCTCTGTCTCTCTCATCTTTCTGCTTTTATTTCTCTTTCTATCTTTCTCACTTTGTTTTTCTTTCTCTTTCTCACACACACATTTCTGGGTTTTTTTTTCTATTTCTTTTTCGTTCTTACACTCTTTTTTTATTTTTGATATGCAACTAATGGTGTTTCTGAGATGAATAGCCTTGTCCATAGTCGCTAACTTCTAGGTCTGTCAATCTATTATTCGTCGTGGAATTCCAAGATGGTTTTTACTTACGTTCCTGCCTATACTCTCATTCCTTGCTTTACATTTCTGGAGTATTTCTCTTATTCCCCTACTATTATTTCTAAATTAAATCCCCACAAGGCAAGAAGCTGTCTCCTGTTCTCTCCAGACTTTACGACAAATACCTCGCTGCTTCCTGTTGGGCAGCTTGTTGAACGTCGGCCTTTATAGTGCATGTTTTTAAGAAATCTGGGGGAAGCCTCTGACCCCTCAAATTATCGCCCTATTAACCTCTCGTCTCTTTTCGGCAAAATACTCGATACTAATCAATGCTGAAATGGTTAAGCATCTTACTCCGCACGACCTCCTTTCTGACAAACAATATGGCTTCCGTTTCACCAGGTACACAGACGACGTGTTAACAGCAATCACTGAATTTGTCTATCAAGCTCTAGATAAGAATTTCGGGCCGAGGCTCTAGAGATCTTGAAAGCGGGTTGACATGATGGCCATCAACACAAGCTCAAGTGCTACGGGACGAATATTTGGCTTAATCCAATCGTTCCCAATAAATTGTGTAATGAAGATCGTGTTGAACGGGCTCGCTTCCATATCATTTCATACTAACGCGTAGAATACAGGGCTCTATAATGACACCTATGCTATTTTTGATCTTCATCAATGATCTCTCCGTTTCTTACTAGGTATTTATGCAGATGACACTACCATTTACTCCAGTCTTCGTAGTAAATCCGACAGATCTGAGAAAGTAAACCTGGCAACTGTTCTTGACAAGCACCGCCAATCAGTGGTTAAGAAATGGCTTGTGAGTTCTAACGCCTCCCATACAAAACTGCTTTCATTTCATCACTACAGAGAAACTTTTCTAACTACCACGGTATGATGCTAAACACGAGAACAACAACACTATATGCCTTCTTGGCCTCACGTTTTCCCCTGACATGAAGTAGAGCGACTACATCGAATCAATAGCTGCATCTATTGCAAGGAAAGTTGGTTCACTGTGTCGTCAGAATCTTGCATATTTATAAATCTACCATTCGTCCATGCATTGAATAGTATTATTACTACAATATCTGGTCTGGTACTCCTGTTGTACATCTTGAGATTCTTGACAAAATTCAAAGAAGTATCTTTGATGTAATCGATCCTGACCAAACATCTCGACTTCAGTCACTTTCTCACCGACGTGACGTGTCTTCCCTTCTGACTTTTCTACAAATATTTTCATGGCAGTTGTTCTGATGAGCTTATTTCCCCTGGTGACCCGTTTACATGAACTTAAACATGCTACTACAGGATACCCCCCCACACCAAAAAACAAAAATCAAACCCAGGAAATTCGGTACATAAATTGTTTGCATTATTCGGACGATTATCCTTATCTTCATTGCCATATAACAGTCCGAATAATGTAAATAATGAAAGTAATCATAATACCTCATTTCAGAGATATAGACAGTAATTTGGTAGAGTTTATTGAATTGTTGGAATATTTGCTACAGCTATTTGAAACGAAAGCAAAGGACAGAAATTTAGTAGCTTAAAAAAGAACAAAAGTACAAATGTGGTGTTCAAATTAAAAGATTCTGGAAAAATTTCTTGGCGTTTTTTTTCAGTCCCCAAGTTGGATGTTCTTTCTTTTAAGAGAACAATCACCTCGCCTTGAAAATTTGGTTTGGTTTGCTTTGTTTTACGGCATAACAACCTCAATGGGTTATTTAATGCCGACTAAATTTTTATTGCTGGTAATATGATTTTCTTTAAAAATCTATTTCTAGGAATATTTTTTCTTGAATAAATCCATAGCTGGTCATATTTTTTTCAATGAATGTATAGCTGTTTGTATTGCTGGTATTTTTTTTAAGTATTGCTGATAATAATTTTTCATTCAAAAATTATTGCTGGTAATATTTTTTTTATTACAAAGCATTTCTGGTATTAAAACATATTTTTACACAAGTTTGGGTGTTAACTATTTGCCCATAGCTGGGACCCTAACAGGTACTACCACGCCAGGTCAGGGTGGACCTGGGAACACCAGCAATTAAGAGGTGATTCCTCACTCCTCAAAACCTCCTGATCAGAGGCCTTGCTGTTGGATGTAGTTTATCGTCTTACCCAGGACACGGATGTAGCTTATCGTCATACTCATGACGATTGAAAATTTGATAACTGTGGCATCTTAGAACAAGAAATGGTAAAAAATTATGTTAGCTAATTTTTTAGTTCATTCATACAGTAAAATATATAGTTATTTTTTTAATAGGTTACTTAATTTTTTCATCAGTCTAAAATTTCCTGGTTTTTGCGTGGGGAACCCTATAGATTGGCATCTAGACTACTTCTACTTGAACAGTTTCTTTTCTCGTACTTCCCACCTGTGGAAATCCCTTCCGATTTCTTGCTTCCCTGACAACTACAACCTTCAAAAATTTAAATGTAACGTCAATCGCCACCTTCTGTCTTCTTGAACACTGTTCCTTTTCTGTTCTTTCCTCAATCCTTTCCATTCTCAGTTTTTTCTCTCTCTTTTACTTTCACACCCTGTAACACTCTGTCTCTTAGTGGCTTTATCGCCTTGTTTGGGCTGAAACAAATTTTAAAAAATCAACGTCAATATTTAAAAAAAATGCCATCGTAACAGATTGGCTGGAGGTGTGGTCAGCTTTTTGTCACGGCACTCAATTACAACTGGTTGGTTTGCTGCACCAGATACATCTGAGCAAATCGGGTAAGTGGTCAGTATCAGCTGACTAGGTCATGCCCGGAAACAAGTGCCAACAAGGCTGGTAGATTTCTGTGTCCCGCTTCACTTGAACATAGATTAAGTCTTTTCCAATTCTACCTATATATTTGACGGCGATAGTCAGTCGTTGGACCCAAATTCTGTCGTTGCCGCACGCGCGACCGCGAATCTCCTGACCCATCAGGGTCATAAGGGCACCACACGCACTTCAACCGCAGTACAAATGGAGTTTCTTGGGCAGAATAGCCTGAGGAAGCCCAAACCTCTCCAGGTCGGTTTTGAATTCAGAGTTTACTTATCCTAGACCGGTTGCCACCCTAAGGCCATAGAACCCAGTCTGTCCTGCTATTTACCCACAGCCTGGGGGAGAAGAATAGGATTCATACCTGCCTGTCGTTGTACCCCTGTAGAAAATCAATAACATCAATCTCTCGAACAGCGTAATAATGCTACGCTTTTCGTAGCTGGTTACGGTCGAGTTGTTGTTGGTCAGATTGAGTGGAGGGGAAGTTCATTGATAGATTAACCAAATGCCTACTGAAAACATAACAGAATTTAATCCGAACAGAAAAAAAAGTAAATTTATAGAATTTAACCCCTACGAAATGACGCATAGGGGGTCATTGTATTGTGTTCATCAACATGCAGCTGTGTTATCGAATCCGGTCCGTTTCCTTCCATCACGGAAAAACGAATGCTAAGCGAAATCCGCGCTCGATTATTTTTGTTTTAATCCAATTTTGTCCATTCAAGGCAATAAAGCCACTAAGTCGCAAGGGGTTTCTTATGAAAGAATTAGAAAACAGAAAATTACTAAGGAGCGATAGAAGAGTGATCGGGAAGACAGTAGATAACGATTGACATTGCATTTAAATTTTCGAAGATCAAAGTTGACTAGAAATTATGGGAACGGAAGAAAAGCACATTCGTACAATTGCCATGCAAATATTTTTTAGAAAAGACAGGGTAGTGAGAATAAAAGAAGAGTAATCAGGAAGACAGTAGATAGCGATTGACATTGCATTTAAATTTTTGATTGGAAAACATGGATCCGTAAGAGAGTTCCACAAGCGAGAAGTGCGAAAGAAGAAACTGTTAGCATAGAACTTACGGTTACATCTAGCCAATTCAACTGTAAATTGATGAGACCTTGTCGCTAATTTAGTACCATAGCGAAAAGCGATATTTCTTTCCGCTTATTTACAGAAAACATGGCCCAAGGCTAAAATGGGGAATAGCGGAAAAAAGGACAGTCTTCTTCTGTCTTAACATTAAACTGACCCAAACACACCACAATAATCCTAACATCAAAACAACACATTCTTACTTACCATTCTTTCTACAGTCACCATAATACCTTATTGTCTCTATGAAAATCCTAACTAATCCCCATATGTACAATTCATTGACTGTGTGGGGAGGGGAATAAAACAACTATTTAAAAACTAACCCCAATGAGGATTTACAATATGAAAATAAAACTATTTACAGGAAACAAAATAAAATAATAATAATAATAATAATAATGATAATAATAATAATAATAATAATAATAAACAATCCGAAGAGCTCATCTGAACAATTACCATGAAAATATCTGTCTATATTTCTGAGATAGAGTATTATGTACGCTATTTATATTATTCGGACTATTGTCCTCATCTTTGTTGCTATATTCATCACAACGCTTCGACCGTTGTACGCTCCGGCGTTCTTCAGGTGGCTGGAATGTAGAACTGAACCCTTTATTTCGCATGCTGGGGTAGACTATTCTAATGACATGTGTCATATCTAATGGATATCAGTTATCAGCTATCTCCTATTAATTCACAATTTTTGCTGTTAGCATTTTTTTTTTTTTACCAGATCTCATACTGCAATTTTCATTGTTATAATTGCTTTTCTCTTTTATCCACTGTGCCATGTGTCGACAGCAAGGCTTTAACTCAACTGCAAAAGAAAGGAGAAATTTCTAGGGTTAAATTGGATTTAAGAATTTTTCTTCTCTTTGATTGATTGTCAATGAAACAAGGCCAAATAACTCATTTACGCAGGTATTTAACCCATAACGAAGAGGGGGTCGAGAAGAGATGAATTCATGCCTTTCCGAAGAGCATTTTTACGATATTGAACGCTACATAACAGGCTGGAATTTGAACTAAGCCGTCGATTCAGTTTTTTGAACCGATATCTGTTACATTAACTGCACACCCAATTACAGATCCTATTAAGCAGAGAATATACAAAACTGGATTTTCCTTGATATTTTTAGCGGTTCATTTCGCATTCTGGACGTTAGGAGAAATTAATTAAATTAAGGACAATCTTTTGTATTATTTTGATTATGGAGTGAAT